AAAAAGAAAAAAAAATTTTACAAAAAGATTTGCCAACACATATAAGTCATAATCATCAATGTAAATGGTATCAATTCACCACTCAAAAGAAACAGACTGGCAAAATGGATCAAGAAACAAGATCCAACAATATGCTGCATACAAAAAACATTTAATTGAAAAATAAATCCAAGGCTGGGGGTATATAGCTCAGTGGCATAACTGCCTGCCTAGCAAGTGCAAGGTCCTGAGTTTGATTCCCAGTACAAAAAAAAATAAAAATAAAAATAAATGGCCAAATGAAAAATAAATCCATAGACTGAAAGTCAAAGGATGGAAAACATGTGACAGTAACTGAGAAAAAAGCACGGACATCCAGTCTATGTGTAGACAGAATGGACTTCAAGCCAAGACTGATGCAAAGAGAAAGAAGGTCATGACAGCTTTGTTAAGAGAACAATCCAAGAGGGAGAGAGAACAAACATAAATATATATGCAACAAATAGCAGCACACCCAACTATATAAAACTAATATTCATACACATGAAAAAAACAAATAAGCACTAACACAACTGTAATGGGGAATCTCAACACCCCACTGTCACAGATAGATCAACTGGACAAAAAAAAAAATCAACAAAAAAAATCAGAATTGAACCAAACTTTTAACCAAATGGACTTAGAAGATATCTACAGAGTGTTTCACATTCTCTCATTCTTCTCAGCTGCACGCAGTATGTTCTCCAAAAGGGGCCACATACTACCTCTGAGAACACGCTTAAGTAAATTCAAAGGAACAGGAATTACCCCATGCATATTATCAGATCACAGTGCAATAAAATTGGAAATCAATGGCAAAAGAAACCAAAAGAACTTTAGAAATGCAAGGAGATTAAATAACACCCTCCTGAAGAACCGATGGCAGATGAAATTAAAAAAGAAATCAAACAGTTGCTACAATTAAAAAATAATGCCAACACAACCTACCACAACTTATGGGATGCAATGAAAGCAATCCTACAAGAGGAATTTATAGCAGTAAATTCCTACATCAGAAAGACAGTGAGCTCAAA